GCCCAGGCCCAGAGTTCAAGCCCCACGACCGACAAAAAAAAAAAAAAAGAGTTTCTTAGACTTATCTGCCCAGGCTAACTTTGAATCACAATTCTCAGATCTCAGCTTCCTAGGGAGCTAGGATTTCAGGCATGAGCTATCAGTACTCAGTTCAATAACCTCATTTTCAAGATGGAAATGAGGGCTTACATTAGGTAGGACATATGCCCAAGGTCACATAGCAGGTAAAGGGCAGTGGTGGGGTTACATGCTAGGTATCCCTTCTCAAATTTCTCAATGATCCTAGCCACTCCCCAAACTACAGCAAAATGCACTAAAAGGCATATGTGAAATACTCTGGTTTCTCTTCAGATTGCATATTACTAAAAGGCATATGTGAAGACTCAATTATTCTCAAAGTGTCAGACTCTTACAAATTTCTGATGAAATATGACAGCTTCTCATCTACTTGCTGAGAACAAGAAAGTGATCAAGGTAAGAAGGTGAACAATGAAGCCAAATTACTTAGGGTTGAATCCCAGCTCTACTATGTTTGCTGTGTGACCTTGGGCAAAATACTGAACCTCTCTGCCATATGCAGTGTCCTCTCTATGCAATGGGAGCCCCCCATTATTAGCATTGCTCAATAAGGGAGCAATACAGGAGATAAGTTTCTCAAAGTTATACATATTAACTTTATGCATATTAACTTATTTGAGGAGTAAATAAATATGTATAAAACTCTAAGCAAGATACCTGATGCATAGTACAGTATGTGAGCATTAGTTATTATTACTGATGTAGTACTCAGTATTAACCAGCACTCATAAGTTTAGCATCATGACTCTCTGAGCAAGATGGAGCAGGGACTAGTAGGTAGAAATAAAGGCTTAGAGAAACAGCATAATACTGCTAACAATGGCCAGAAATAGACTAAAATCTCTGTCTTTCTTTCTTTTCTTTTCTTTTTTTTGTCGGTCATGGGACTTAAACTCTGGGCCTGGGCACTGTCCCTCAGTTCTTCAGCTCAAGGTGAGTGTTCTACCACTTGTGCCACAGCACCACTTCCAGTTTTCTGGTGTTTTATTGGCGATAAAGAGTCTCATGGGCTTTTCCTGCCTGGGCTGGCTTTGAACCCCGATCCTCAGATCTCAGCCTCTTGAGTAGCTAGTATTACAGGCATGAGCCACTGACCCCAGCAAAAACCTCTATCTTTCTACTGTAACCCCTCTGGGTGCCTTTGCCCTCAAGTTGTGATCATGTAGCCTAGGGGCCCAAAGGACATGGAACAAGTGGAAAGGTCCTAGGCCCACAGGAACTACCTTCATGGGACATGTCTTCTTATCAGGGCTTCGCTGGGCTGCCACCTCAAAGCAGTAGGCTACCCGTTTCTCAGGGGGCCAGTAGGTGGGTGCCAGCTTCTCCATGAAGTCTTCCAGGCTGATGACCCTGTGGTAGGCCTGAAGGGGCTCTAGCTTGAAGTACTTCTGATAAGATACATGGAGCTACAGAAAAAAAAAAAAAAAAAGAAGAGGTAAATGTTCCTTCAGTCTCATTTTCAGTCACTCATTAAAATTATACATGATGGGACTGGGAATGTGGCTTAGTGGTAGTGTGCTTGCCTAGCATGCGTAAAACCCTGTGTTCTATTCCTCAGTATCACATAAACAGAAAAAGCCATAGGTGGTATTATGGCTCTCAAGTGGAAGTATGCTAGCCTTGAGCTAAAGCAGCTCAGGGACAGTGCCCAGGCCCTGAGTTCAAGCCCTAGGACTGGAAAAAAAAAACTTATGCTAAGACACAGGAAGTTCAGATGACGTGACAATGAGAAATTTTTAGATAAGAGTGAATGGATGCCTGAAGTGGCAGAGGGTGTATCTAGTTTGAACTTGCTGGGAAATTAAATCCAGAGCCTTGTTCATACTGTTTTTGTTTTATTTTGTTTTGTATTTTGGCTCTGATTTGTTGGTTTATTTTTAATATAGAGTCTCACTATGTATCCCTGGTTAGCCTCAACTCTTCTGCCTCTGCCTCCCAAGTGCTGGGATTAAAGGTATGTGCCATGATACCCACAGCCCCCTACCACCTGGGCCACAGCTCCACTTTCTGCTTTTGGTGGTAAATTGGAGATACGAGTCTTACATATTTTCCTGCCAGGGCTGGCTTCAAACTGAGATCCTCAGATCTCCACCTCCTGAGGAGCTAGGATTACAGGTGTGAACTACTGGTGCCTGGCTTGATTTTGTAATTTCTGCCTCCATAGTAGCTGTAGGTTTGAGGTAGATTAATTTCTACCTCAATCTACAACTTGAGGGAAATTAAATCTAATCCCAAATAGATTAAAGATTTGAGCCTGGCTGAGGAAATGTTGTTTACAACTGACTTACTATAGCAGGACTTTTGAAGGCCTTTGATGCGTTATTGTGCCAAATCTGCAAATGTGAGAGGATAGGGAATGGAGAATACTATTTCCCAAAGTGACTTAACTATAAACTTCTTTTTTATAGCCAGTCCTAGGGCTTAGACCCAGGGCCTGGGCACTGTCCCTGAGCTGCTTTTGCTCAAGGCTAGCACTCTACCACTTGAGCCACAGCACCACTTCTGTCTTTTTCTGTTTATATGGTACAGAGGAATTGAACCCAGGACTTCATGCATGCTAGACAAGCACTCTACCACTAAGCCAAATTTCCAGCCCAGCTATGCACTCTTCTAGAATACAAAATTGGTATTTCAAAGAACAATGAGGTATTATAGCAGAAGAATTTTCAGCAAAAAGAATACAAGGTTGGTCTCTTTTGAAGGATTACTATGGTGGAAGAGGAGAGAATGGACTGCTGGTAAGACTAGAGGAAGGAGAACAGGAGGCTACTGCAATGGTCCTTGTATTTGTTCAAGCATACATTTAACATGTACTCATTGTGCATTTCATACACACTTCAGTGAGAGGGAGCAGCCTGAACATGTAGAAGAGACAATGGAAGGTGAAGTAGAGTTTGAGGGCTGAGCATGTAGTAGGGGAGGTATTCAGGATGACTTCTATGTTCCTGGCTTGGTATCCAAGTGAACAGAAGTGGTTGGAATTACACACAGAGACACAGGTTTGAGGGAAAAGATGCCAAGCTCAGTTCTAGCTTTATAAGTGAGAAATTTGTGGGACATTCAAGTGGACTTGAGAGTTTAAAAGTCAGAAACACAGGTCTGTGGTAAGAGAGGAGGCTGGATCACAGATAAATTGGAAATACACAGAGAATAGTGAAAGGCACAAGAACACAAAGTTAGGGCAAAGCAAGTAACGATAACAATAGAGACTACTATTTACTGAGGGCTGACTTAGTGCCAGGTGCTGTATCACCCCTTCATAAGGATTTAATTCTGAATTGATTCTAAGGGGCAGGAATATAACCATCTCCAGTTTACTTATGAAGACACCTAAGTGTATAGAACCTAGCTGACTCATCTGAAGCCACAGAGCTAATAGCAAACAAAGGAGAACACACCAACAGCTCAACAGTGGATGAAGACAGAGGAGCCCCCAAGGCAACATGAAAAGGGCAAAAGCAGAGAGGTCAGCACTGCAGCAGAACAGGTGATATCCTGGAAGCCAGAGGAGCAGGGGAGCAGGGAAGCTCTGGAAGGAGATAATCATAGGAGTAGGTGCCACTGGGAGTTCAGGTAAGACGAAGATTGAGAAATGAACCCTGGATTTAGCAATTCTGAGCTCCCTGGTGACATCAGTGGGAACAGTCACAGTGAGGAAGGGGAGCCCAGGTGGGACAGAAAGCAAGGAAGTAGAGACTGGTGTGACACCTGGCTAAGATGGCAAGGAGAAAAAGCAGGCAAGCCAAAGGTTGGCCCATGGCAATGTCTACACAGAAAGTAAAAAAGAAAAAAAAAAGTCAGAATACCAACAGTCCTAGGATTGAAGACTTCCTCTGTCCTCAGTTCTTTACATTGAGAAGCTCAGCTGATTCTAGGGAGGAGGCATATAACAACTTTCAGGGCACATTACTGTCAGTAACTCATCCAATCCTCCCCATAGGAAAATAGTGAGAATTATTACCAGGCTGTGAAACAGGAGGAGATTTAGGCACAGAAATGGTTGAGTACCTTATGTTAGGCTATCTGATTATTAAGAGGCCAAACTAGGCTGTGGTCTGAGATACTATGGCTTTTAATTTCTGTGAAGGACTGCTTCAGGACTAGGAGTGTAGTTTAGTGGTAGGAGTGCTTGCTAATACACATGAGGCTCTGGATTTGATCTCCAACACTGGGGGAAAATATTCAAGTGCAGGTATGCAGAAAAAAAACGGCTGTAAGAATTAAATGCAGTGTTTTGTATATATACTAAGTATAATTTCTGGCATCTACTCAAAAATTTTAAGTTGATTCTGTAGCTATTAAGTTCCTACTTCCACCTACTTGGGGACTGGGAGACAAAAGAATAAGCTAGGAATTAGAGGACACTGAGCATGTCTCCCTAAAATAATCCTTTTTTAATTTTTAAAATTTTTTAAAATTTTAGCCGGGCGCTGGTGGCTCACGCCTGTAATCCTAGCTACTCAGGAGGCTGAGATCTGAGGATTGCGGTTCAAAGCCAGCCTGGGCAGGAGAGACCGTGAGACTCCTATCTCCAATAAACCACCAGAAAACTGGAAGTGGCGCTGTAGCTCAAGTGGTAGAGTGCTCGCCTTGAGCTGAAGAGCTGAGGGACAGCGCCCAGGCCCAGAGTTCAAGCCCCACGACTGACCAAAAAATAGAAAAAAAAATTTTAAATTTTATTGTAAAGATGCTATACAGAGGGATTACAGTTACATGAGTAAGGGAATGAGTACATTATATATATATATATATATATATATATATATATATATATATATATTGTCAGTCATGGGGCTTGAACTCTGGGCCTGGGCACTGTCCCTGAACTTTAGCTCAAGGGTAGCACTCTACCACTTGAGCCACAGTGCCACATCCTCCATCACCTTTTCAATGTGTGTAGGTGCTGATCCTGGGGCTTGAATTTATGACCTGGGAGCTGTCCCTAAGAATTTGTGCTCTACCATTTGAGTCACAGCTCCACTTCTAGCTTCTTGTAGTTAACTGGAGATAAAAGTCTCACAGACTTTCCTGCCTGGGTTGATTTCAAACCACAATCTTCAGATCTCAGCCTCCTGAGTAGCTAGGATTATAGGCATGAGCCACTTGCGCCCTGCTCCATCACTTATTGACTAATGACAAGGCACAGAAGGAGAGCCAATCAAGACTGCAAATAGAAATTTTAGGTTAGAGTCACAGGCTCTGGAGTCAGTCATGGCTTGAATTTTAGCTCTACTACCCACAAGTTGTGGGATTTGGGGCAAGTGACCTAAGTTTTCTTTTCTTTTTTTTGGGGGGGGTCCAGTCATGGGGCCTGAACTCTGGGCCTGGGTGCTGTCTCTCAGCTCTTCAGCTCAAGGCTAGAGCTCTATCACTTGAGCCACAGCACCATTTCCAGCTTTTTTCTTTTTGCTTATGTGGTGCTAAGGAATCGAACCCAGGGCCTCATTCATGCAAGACAAGTGCTCTACCACTGAACCACCTTCCCAGCCTTGACCTAACTTTTCTAAACCTTAGTTTCTTCAGGGGATGAGCCATGGGAGAAATGAGCTAATCCTCATGTAATGCCAGAATAGTGTCTGCATGTGGACAGTGTTGCATGTCAGCCACTGCAATTCCAGGGAAGATTTTCTGGATAGGAAGAAGGGCAAAGCTCAGAGGACCAACTTACAATGATAATCTACTACGCAAGAGGTAAGACCTGGAGGAGTTAAGTCAAGGACAGCACAACTGGGACAGAATGGACAAGCCAAGGTCAGCGGGAGTACTCACATTAGTGAAGGGAGGCTTGTGGTGCTGGTACTCAATCCATGGAGGTACAGCCAAGGTGCGATTCAGCAGTTTTGCAAATGCCAGAGAGCCCAAGAAGTGATCGGCCTGGTTCCCAAAACGCCCTGGAAATGGTACACCAGGCATGAGGCAAAGCATGGGAAATGTTAGATTCAGAGGACACCAAGGAGAGCTAGGGGACCTGCAGCATGAGAGTAAGTCTGGCATCCAAGGCCCTGTGGATCCTGTTCCTTCTGCCTTAGCCACTCTAGATTCCTTGCCATCTTCTCAACACACTAAAATCACCACTCCACCCATTGCCTTTGTCCTTGTCTGAGCCACTTCTTTCTCCAAAGAGGGGATGACTCCAATGCCATTCACTAAGATCCTTTCACTAACCCTTCTCCATACTCCCCCTTTCTCTTCCTCCTACCTTGCATTTAAGTTCTTCACTTTTCCTCAAACATATGCTTTTACTTCCTGGCTTTGATACTGGCTGTTACCTCAGCCTGAGTGACAGATACAGGAGCTTTTCTGATTTTTTTCTTTTTATCCCCAGATTCACATCCACTCAGGCATTCCACAAATATATCAAAAGGCCACAATGTGCCAGGCTCTGTGCTAGGTATTAGGACCTTGGGTTGGGCAAAAGACAAGGTATCTGCCCTCAAGGCACTCATAGTGCCATCTGGGGAGATACTGAACATGAAAACAAGCTGATAAAATTGGATAACTGCAAGGAAGTTTTGCTGATGGGAAACAGTAAGGAAGAGATTATTTGGGCAGTGATCAGTGGAGTCCTCCTTTTTGGTGACATTTATGCTGAGGACTGAAGGACGGGAAGGGGTTGGTGAGAGGTGGGAGTGTGTGTGTGTGTGTGTGTGTGTGTGTAAGGGAAAGGAGGTAAGTGTGGCTGCACCTGCAGGGTCAGGGAGAAGGCAGTTGTGGGGATAACTAGCAGGGAGTCCATTCAGACAGGGCCCTGAATGACCATGATTAGGAAGGAGTCTGGAAGCCACTGCAGGGCTTTAGAAAGGCATGACTTGGACAGTGATGAGTCACCACTTGGTTTATATTGTGCCCTTCAACTGGGATTCTTTTTCCTTCCTTTCTTTCATTCCTTCGTTCTTTCCTTCCCTTTTCTTGTCCTGGGGCTAGAATTCTGTGCCTAGGTGCTGTCCCTGAGCTCTTTTGCTCTACCACTTTGAGCCACAGTGCCACTTCTGGCTGTTTATGTGGTACTGAGGAATCGAACCCAGGGCTTCAAGCATACTAGGCAAGCACTACCCCTATGCCACATTCGCCAGGGTTTCATGCTTGCTAGGCAAGCACTAGTCCTAAGCCACATCCCCCAGGGCTTCATACATGCTAGGCAAGCACTCTACCACTAAGCCACATCCACAACTATGCAATTACTTAGTTGTTTTTTTTTTTTTTTTGTCAGCGATGTCCCTCAGCTCTTTTAGCTCAAGGCTACCACTCTACCAATATGTGGTGCTGAGGAATCGAACTCAGGGCCTCATGCATGCAGGGCAAGCACTCTACCACTGAGCCACCTTCCCAGCCCCTGCAATTATTTAGTATTGATGCTTATCTTCCCCATCTAAACCTACAAGGGCATGAGATTTATCTGTCTTATTCACCATGGTATTCCCAGCACCTGAGGACCGCGCCTAGCAGAGAAAAGGTGTCACACAAATATTTTTGTGGATGAATGAAATAAAAGCCTAGAGCCCGAGTGGGGACAGTGCATCAATTCCTGCTTCATCAACTCCATTTCCTGGGCCTCAGACGTCACGTGAGTCACGTCACCTCTCAGCCTCAGTTTTCTCATTTGTCAGATGGCTGGTGGGACACAGTGGCCCCCTTTCGAGTGGCAGAGAGAAGAGCAAGTCCTGCCCAGCTTTGGGGTCCTGCCCAGCTTTGGGGTCCTCTCTTGGACCTGTCAAAGCCTCTCAGGGTGCCTCAGAGAAGTGGCTTCGCCTCTCCCGGCCTCAGTTTCTCCATATGCGCAGAGGGCTCGGGAGGCCTTACCCATACAGGGACAGTAGAGCAGGTAACCAGCCGGGTCCCAGGAGCCCGCGGGCATCCCGGGGAGCGGCAGGAACAGCACGAGGAGAGAGGTTCTCAGCGGCAGGGGCGGCGGCGCCCACGCGGCGGCGCCCATGACGACTCGGGGAGCCCAGAGCGCCTGGCCGGCGACGAGGGCGGGCGGGCGGGAGGAG